TTTTTCCTTCTAAAGCTCAGCTCAGAACCAGTATTCTTGAAGGGACTACTTGCCAGTTTAGCCAGAATTCGGGCGCCCTATTTTTATTTAAGCAGTCTTAACTCCTAAATGCTCGGGAAATTAGGAGACAGTCGTATTATTTGTTTTACATATTTTAAATTTATTTGTAAATTATAGTAAAAATCAAATTTGATTTGTGTGCAGAGAATATTAAGTAATTATAAGATTTAACGATCAATATTCATGTTAAAATTAATATAATAGTTTATGAATATATTAGATTTTAAAAATCTTTGTATTGAATTGAATATATTAGTATATTTCCATTTGTGAATTATAATATAATGTGTGTTGCCCCATGCATTTAAAATGTGAGGCAGACCTATAATTTTTTCTTGTTTATTTTTATTCATTTTCCAATGCTTATTTTTGGGATATAAAGTATATGCACCCTACAATTCCTCTCATCCTTTGAACATTTCTTTCTTCTTCTACTCCAATGCCCCACCAAAAATCCAGGATCCTTTATCATTCTCTCTCTAGTCCTCTCTTGCTTTGTCACTTTTCCATTTTCCACCATTTTTTTTTTCTCTCAAGATCCATTCTCTTTTTCTTTCCCCATTAAGAGAAGTTAACACAACATGGTAAGCTACAAAACTCATGCATTTTGGATTGCAATAATATTAATAATCCTTCAATTTCTTTTGTTTATGTATGTTCTTGTGCGTATAAATAATCTTGACATTGATTGTATGAGATCATAATCTTTTAGGTGGCTTCATGATCATGAACTATTGGGATCAGATTTCCCGTTCCATTTTCATGTTTCATCTTATATTTCATTCCATTCGATGAATGACACGTGTATAAAATAACTGAACATGACATTATCATATACACGTGTCATTCATCCAACATATCATGGAACAGAACACAAAAGTGATAGAAAATCTCGTTCCATGAACTATACATGTGATGTTCTATATTTTGGTCGTTCATTAATGTTTGTTATATCCTATGATTTAGAATTTGGTTTGATTGATTAATTGTTGTTTGATTATGGTGTATGGACAAAGGCAAATTCGGCATCCGGGATTGCGGTGAGTGACGAGTGCAAGATGAAATTCTTGGAGCTGAAGGCGAAGAGGAACCATAGATATATCGTGTTCAAAATCGATGACATCATGCAGCAAGTCACAGTCGAGAAAGCTGGCACCGCTTCCGAGACTTATGAGGACTTTTCCGAAAGCCTTCCGGAAGGTGACTGCCGATACGCGGTATTCGACTATGACTTCACCACCGATGAAAATTGCCACAAGAGCAAGATCTTCTTCATTGCGTGGTACGTGTTTTTTTTTCTTTTTCTTTTTTTTTCTTTTTTTTACGTACCTTTTTGTTAGATAGTCGCAACATTTTTGAATAAAAATGTGTGCTTTTCTATGGTGAAATGTCATAATTCGACGTAAATTTTTGTTTTTTATACAACAAAATCCGATGCTCTTCTTTTTTCTCTCGGTTTATAGTATTTATAAACATTTTTTTTTTTTGTCGAATTTTCGATTTTCAGGTCTCCTGACACGGCAAAGGTGAGGACCAAAATGCTGTATGCAAGCTCGAAAGATAGGTTCAAGAGAGAGCTCGAGGGCATTCAGGTTGAGTTACAGGCAACCGATCCTAGTGAGATGAGCTGGGATANAGTGGTTTTTGTTCGAATATTTATGAAATATTCGTTTTTTCGTCTTGGCTCTTTTTAGTGTATCATAAGAGGGCCTCTGCTTGTATTCTGCTTTTAGCTGACTGTGAGGATTGGTAACTTGCATTAGAGGGATAAGAACTCTCAGTTCCTTTGTTATATTTGAGTGTGTTGTATTTTGACAAAAGGTTTATTTATTAACTACATATTGTCTCAAGCTCTACTGGCTCCTGTAAGTTATATTTATGCACTGTTGTTTTCAAATTGCTGTGTTGATATATAAAATATATTCAGCAGGTAATTGACAATTCAAGTCCAAAATTTATCTGTGCATTTTCTCTAATTTCAGGGTTATTGTTATATGTACTGTGCCTGATTAACAAAAGCTAACTCCAGGATTAGTAGTCCAAAATGTGATTATGTGATAACTAAATCAATATCAGATGAATGTTTATGAATCATAAAGAACTCATTCAGTCAGGTCAGGTCACACATTCACCAGGTAGTCCTAACTCCTAAATAAAACCTCAATACATTAAAATGGTCTATAATTTGTAGCATTTCACATCGAGATTCGAGTCACCACAAAAAACCAAAATGTACAAAAAAGAATACTTACTAAAATTAACGACACACTAAGAAGTCGATTTTTCGATAAAGGCTCATAAGCTCTTCTCATTTCTTTTGTCCCAATACTGTTTTTCCCATGCCTCGACTTCTTCAATCGCTTTTTTCTTCTCGTCAACAAAAGCCTTGAGCTCTCGAGGCTTGTGAGGTGGGGCCATCGTGCAAGGGCCCGAGCCACTTGGCGATTTTTCCAAAGATTCCTCCATAAAATTCCTCCAAATCCCATCTTCAGTGCACGCCATTGACTCCGAACAAAGCTCCACCGCATTCAGAGGCACAGTGGGCTTGTAATTTAAGAGCTTTGCATATTCATTAAGCAAATGAAACATGTAATCATAAACATATTCCATTTTCATGTCCTCGTGAATAAATCGGCTCCCGGCTTCCCCAATCGCCTTCGCCTACAAACCACCATCAAATTTGATATTATATTACATTTTATTTATAAATAAACCCAATTATCTTTCGAAAAATAACAAAAATGGGCCATTTCAGTAGATTGTTGGGTGATTAGGTTAGAGCTTGGGAGTATTTTCGTAACTTTGAGTTGGACTTCTTTTTTNTACCTTTTCGGTGTGATTGTTTCCCCATTCAACGGCATATTTTAGGGACTTGCACTTGTTGTTGTCCCTAACAGGCCAATAATGGTGCTGAGGGACCATTCCTCGTATGAAGAAATCGTACCACCGGGGAGTCATTAGCAAGGTGGGAGAATTACAGGCTAAAATATATTTTTCGCTCACGGACCAAGCCCATCCTTCTATGTAGATTTTGTACCTAAAATTGCATAAGACCAACAAATTTCACAAATGAATACTTCTGGAGGATTTTGAATAAGCTCACAACATAGACAAATTTTGGGTGATTCTTCGAATCCAAGAGCATGATTATAAAATCTGTTAATTTACGGTTAATTTCTATCTAAAACCTGTGGGTACACTGGTCTCCAAGATTTGATCCCTTGTATCCCTTTTGAGACTCTGCAATCCAATCCTGAACAACAGAGGAGGGTTTATTAAGCATTTACCTATAACAAATTCAAAATGAAAAGAAAAGGACAACATTCAACGATAATAGATGCCGGTTTTTTTTTTTTTTCAAAGAAAAACATCCATCAGAAGTTTTTGGCTTCAATTCAACTTTGAAGGGCTCAAGACATTATATTTATAATCGGTGTACGCAAATGCCAATTCCCACAAAATTATTACACCCAATCAACAGATTTCACCAATTAACAGCTCTATGGGCTTTTACCTGAACATAAAGTCGAGCATTCCAGTCATTCTGGTCAGTCACATTGCAGTTCATAAGGTCAGCCCTCCAGGGGCAAACGTGTGGGTTGCCTTTCCAGTAAGCATACGGCACTCTATCTTCCCATTTTGTCCTCTCGTTCCCTTCTTTTATGTCATTCAGCACACTTCTCCATGGCCTTATATTCGTCTCAGCCCTACACGAACAATTTCAAGATATATGGATATTACGACATTGGCCGGGCAACTGAAGAAGTAAAAATAGTATTTCACCAAGTTCGAAAAAATCAGGAGAATGAACAAAAAGGCTTGAACTTCAATCAAGGGAGTATCCTTATCAACTGTAATTTTCAACAAACAGCTATACAAACTAAACCCAGTTTTCAACCAACTTCAGGGAATGCTTTTCAATTAACCATTTCAAAAAACATGTGCAATTGTTACCTGGCTACCTCAATCTTGCTTTCTCAATAGGATTTTCCCTAGGGTTTTCTTTTCTTCAATTGTTTGCTTCAGAAAATAAAACAGACAACTCAAATGCAAGAATCAAAAAATTAAAACATGTTTCTTCAATACTAGGAAGCTTTAATTTCCTTCGAGNNNAAGGAACAGAACAAAATGTTTACCAGCCCCAAAAGGACCAATCGGGGAATACGATGTCCAAGCTCGCCCAGTCAGAACAGTACCGAAACAGCGGCGGCGGCCCCGAGCCCGGACGCCGGAAATCCTCCGCCGCCACGACCGGCCTGTCATCGCAATCGAACATCAGCTCCAGGTCAGGCAGTCTTCCCGGGTACCACCTCATCATCTGAACAATCCCCCACATAGTGAACAGAGCGCGCGTCTGGATCGACGGCCGGAACTTCTCCACGTAGACCCTCCCGTCGGAGAGTGTCAGCCGGAAATGCGCCGTCCGTCGCGCTCTCTCCACCATCTCCTTTGTTATCCCGGTTTTCTTCCAGTGCTTCAGGTCCTCGTGTATCCATCGGAAATACTCAGGGCAGGCTGAGCTGGATCCCGGCGACGGGTCGAGCTGCGGTGATGATTTCGGGTAGTTTCTCGGACAGGTGCGGCTGTTATTCCATGCGGTGCAGTTCAGGGGAAACTCGAGGGCATTTCTGGGTTTTTGGGTGATAGCTGGGAGGGCTTTTTGGGACAAGTGGCACGCAGCGTATTTACGCTGAATTTTTTAAAAGGAAATGGTAAATTTATTACTTATGAAAAGTATATTAAGAAATTCGAGGCAATTACAAATTTGGTCCCGTTAATTTGAGACGACAGTAATTTTAATCTTGAGGGGCACAATTTTAGTCGATAACTTTTTTTCGTTGCAAAAGTAGCCTACACCATAAAAAACTAACGGATATGTCACACGTGGAGAAGGCTATCATCTCATCACGAGATCATTTCGTGAGAGTTTTTAGCCATTGGATATACATAAAAGTTAGTTATTGTAGATAATCAATGGCTAAAAATTCTCACGGAATGATTCCGGGATGATAGTTTTTCCACAATTTTTATTTATTTAGTTTGGTTGCTCTTTCATTTATAGTTTTTTTTTTTTTTGCTTATTTTTATTATTGTATGAATAAATAACACTATTATATGTATATTTGTATTTGGTTTGAGATCGGAGAAAACAATTAATTACTATAACTGATGAAAAATTTGTAAAGTAAGAGAATGGCGATCTTATCTTGCGAGCAAGAACTGAAATTTTAAGAACAAAAAATGTTAATTGTTTATCGTGACACCGAGATGAGATAGATATCATCATGCCAATTAATCTACGATTGAACTTACTCAAGGAAAACAAACTCTATAATTCACTTTTCCACTCTTGATATATAGTCTATAACCCATGCATTCACATTAATTGATAATTTTCCCCTTATTTCTAGATGAACTATAACTTGCCTCATCAAATTAAAATCTATATCTATATAAAAAAGTTATTGAAAAAATACATTAATAGAAGGTTTGAACAAATAAATATAATGTTTGACTTACTATTAATAAAAAGTTCAAAAAGACACATGTGAATCTTTAGTAACAAAATCTAAATCCTATTTTTTGGTAACAAATTTGGAGATTCTTATAGGAAAATTTGAATCCCATATTTTTCGTATTTTATCAAAATTTAAATCATATCTTTTTTGGTAACAAATTTGGAGATTCTTATGCAAAAAATATGTCAATTATTTATGAAAAAATTTTTAAATACAAATTAATTTTAAAAATGTGCAAATTGGATACAAATTTAGGAAGCAAATAGTTGTATAATTCTTAACCAATTCTAACAATCTTATTGAACAATTTTTTCTTTCAAAAAAATTGTGTAAATTGGATAAAGCCACGTGCAATTTTTATTTTAAAATAAAACTGATATTTGGACGGGATGTACATTCAAAATTGTGTCCACATTTTTTGGTAACAAAAGCGATTCATCATTGATATTTAAAGTCACCTTATCCAATTATTTAGGAAAAAATATGTGCAACTTTTCAAAATTTAAATGCATCGATTTTTTTGGATTCTTATGTTTTTTTCTTAACCATGTTTTACCGAGATTTTGGTAAGTTCATATCATTTGTTTTGGTTAAGTTCATATCATTTTCTTTAGGAAAGAGACAGTTGCATAAACATTAACAATTTATTTCAATTTTTTGTTAGAATTATTTATATTTCAATTTGTTTGGTACAAAAATTGGTGCAATGTTAGGAAAAATTGGTTGCATTTTTAGGAAAAATTGATGATTTTTTTTATTTGGTTTAAAAGAAAATTCAGATCAATTTGTTTGATAAAAAAATTGGTTTATTGGTAGAAAAATCGGTCATTTCCGGGACTAACTAATGATTCTTTTCAATTTTTCTTAATTGAAATTTAGAACTAGATTAAAAATAAATAATGGGTAAAAATTCCTAAAAAAATTTACTTTTTTTTCTACTTTAATTTTGTTTAATAAATAAGATCCTTTAATTTTTTTTTTAAAATTTGTTAACTAATAACTAATAATATGCAATTTTGGATAAATTTGAGCACCTATGTAGTACTTTACGTGCCAAAGAATCAAATCAATAATGTTGTACATAAGAAAGTGTTTAATAACATATAAATTTCATTTTCATAAAATTTTTAATGGCATGAGACAATTTAAATACAAAAATATCTTTTAAAAAATATATATAATAATAAATGCTCCCGTGCATCGCACGGACACCATACTAGTAACAATAAACAATTGACTAATAATTTGGACTTTGTTTACATTGCGTTTTTTTAATCAGAAATTCTATGGTGCCATAGAATTTCTGTTTTTTAATAGCGTTGAATGATTATTGGAAGATGCGAAGATGGGAACGTGATTTCCACTTTGAATGATCATGCGTGCAGTATGAGTTGAGATGTCCTAATTTTGTGAACCTCATGAGGGTGTAAAAATTTTTTTATTTTGAAAACTTTTCTTAATCGAAATATGAGTTGAGATGTCCTAATTTTGTGAACCTCATGAGGGTGTAAAAATTTTTTTATTTTGAAAACTTTTCTTAATCGAAATAATATTGGTTTTAAAAGTGGTTTTATTTTTCTTTTGAAAATTCGTTTAAAATTCTAAAACATCTTAATTTTATGATATGATTAGGATTAGGATTTGTAAATAACAATTAGTATTTAATCGTATGCTCATGCAAAATAAAATATTATGAGTTATATTTATGATGTTTTAAAATTATATTAGTTAGATAATTGACATATCATATTTAAAATGAGCATATAAAATATTATGAGTTATAGTTATGATGTTTTAGAATTATATTAGTTAGATAATTGACATATCATATTTAAATTTTTTTATAATTAGTAAAAATAAATAATATAAATAAATTATTCTGATTTTAGTAACTTGAAGAAAAAAGTTCTAGAATAATTTTTAATAAGTATGTAACTCCTCATATAATTTAGCGTTAATTTATAATTAGATAGTGTTAGGAGTAACTGTTAATGTAATAAGTTAGTTAAAAATAATAATTATATTCAATTAATATAAAATATAACGGTTTGTTTCTATAAATAACTCAAAAATGAGCACAAAAATGTTTCTTTATGCATTAATGGGATATCCCACTAATATGCAGATATATATTATTTGAAGGTACATTTACATAGAATAATTTTTTATAATAAAAGTTAAGATTTATTTTACTACCACTGTTTTTAGTTTTTTAATAACATATCAATTGACAAAAAATCACATTTTTTTGTTACACTTACACTTTAGTATCGCCTATTCTATTTTTCGAGTAAAATTGATAATTGACTCATCTTTTGAGTCTCAAACTTATATAAATTAAATCTTAAATTGATATTTTTACATCTTTTGAGTTCTTAAAGGAATTTATCTTTATGACGTCGAACTACTGATAAAATGTCTAAAATGATTGATAGAATAAATAAATAAATATTAAATAATATAAATTTATTTATTTATTTATATTACAGACTCATGCATCGCACTACACTAGTTTAACTAAAACATTAAAAAAATAAATTAGAGATAATATATATATATATATATATTAACTAATTTTAGTTAAAATTATATATATTAATGCACTCTTGTTGTTCACGTGTGTTGTATTAAATGTATAATAAATTAATTATTCTATTCAATTTTTTAAAAAAATATATATCTTGAATAAAATAAATAATATTTCGATCAAAATATTTTATAGAATTTCAAATAATATTACATTTTTTTTTTACTTTATTATTAATTACTTATAAATTCTTTCACAATAAGAATTTTTTTTTTCATTATTTGTTGCATAATTACTTTTTTCTTCAAACACCCGTGTAGTTTACAGGTGTTGGACTAGTATATTTCTTAAAGAAAAATCCTACTCCCGAGTCAATTTTTCTGATTCAATTTAGCAACGTGATATTTATTAACAAGACCGACGTACTAATTAATCTCTTCTAAGTTATTACTTGGCTTCAAGGTTCAAACACAAGATTCCTTAAAGAGTTGTTATTTGATTAATTGGTTTCATACTTCCCATTAATTAAAAAACATAGATAAGTAGCTATCGTTCTTATGTTTTAAATTATTTAGGTCCAAGTCTTACCACGATTTAGGGTAGCCTGCTAAACATTTCCTAATATTTTAATAGCATCGCTTTCTATAATTTGTAATTAAGAAACTTTTAAGTTTTAAGTCAACACCTAGATATTGAGAATTGCGTTAACAGGACCAAAAATAGTGACAAGGTGAGCCTAGTCGAGCTTCTAACACTCGATCTCGGGCTCTACCATTTATCTAGTCAAGTTGATAAATAATTTTGAAATTGGTACGTTTATTAATATTAAAGTCGAATTCGAATTTTAACAAGCTAAACTCTTAAAAAAATATATAAAAATTCTTACTTTCGAGCATTAGCGAGCAAAGCTCAGTTCGTTTTTTTTTAACTAAACAAGCTTAAAATGAGCTATAATCGAACTCACGAACAAGTCATTTTGTTTAATAGCTCTCAGACCTGATGGTAGATTTATTAGTATCTGATATAGGATATCATAATTTATTTCCAATATCCATAAGTATTGAATGCTAAAATCAACAGATATGGAAAATTAAACAAATTCACTTCTTCAATATTATGAAATATATACNTATATATTTCTAAGTTTCTATACCTCAAATACGCGTGCAAAAATCAGAAATAAATAAATAAATAAATAACGAAAGAAATCGATCATGCTAATGGATTCAAATTTATGACAGCTGATAACAATAAATAAGTTTGCTATATATGCAGATTGAGCCAAAAACGTTATTGCAGTCTTCACAAAAAATCAAGTTACATCATACATGTTACTTAAAAAAATAATCACATTGTGGAAAAGCTCTCAAGGCTCTTTACTATACAAATATACAAAGAAATGAATTGTTGATTTATGCAATTTTTCTACAAAAAAAAATAAAAAATATTGAGACAAAAAAAGGGATTTTAAAGAAAACTTACGAAGACGAGCATGGAGATTATAAGGATGACAAAGAAAACGAGAAGCATAAATTTCATTAAAGATGACCATGATCCGCCATTTTTGAATGATCTCAAAAGCTTGGACCCCATTGAATGTTTCTGAAAAGCTGGCCTAAGCCAAAAGACCTTCATCAACTTCTCTTCATGCCCTTTCATGTCTTCTACTTCCTTTTTCAAGTAGTCTTGTTTATTTAACTCCCCTTTTTTTCTCTTTTCTGTGTCACTTTACTTTTTTTTTATTTTATTTTATTTTTTTTCTATTTTCTTCTTGTGGGGTGAGTGTTATGTTATGAAGGTGTTTACCAAAATCTTTGCGAATTGTGCTTGATGTTGAAATACAGAGTTTTTTCCAATGCAAAGTTTTGGGGAGAAGAAGTCAAACTTATAGAAAGGGTACTTAGCTGTCTTTTGTTAAAGAAAAATGGGGTGATTTTATTATTCTTTAAAAAGATTTATGGGTTGGATTTGGAAAATTGCAAAATCTGTATGTTTTTTCCTCTCTTTAATGAATGTTCAAGGCTTCTGCTAGATGTCCAATTAACTTGATCACATAGAGAACTATAGGGTTACATGTATAAGAAATTTGAAATAAGTATGTAATAATATACATGAAATTATTTATAACATTACGCACATGAAATGTAAAAGTAAATTTAAAAAGTATAGATTATATAATATTATGTACATGAAATTTATTAAGAAACAAATTTAAACAGTATAAAAATACGACAATGTAGATGAAATAGCATTATAATATTATATACTTCATATTTGAAAATGTATATTTTATGATACATACTTATGAAATAAGTTTGACCGTATAGATACATATTCATGTGTTTAGCCTACTTTTTCTTATAAAGGATTAAAATACAAAAGCAACCCGTGTTTAACATTTATCATATTTAATACAATAACACAATCATTTAAAATTACAAAATGGAGCAAAACAAAGAGGCTGCAATATTTTACAAAATATAAATAAATGTCCTCGAATATTTGTAATTGAAAAGATATGATTCCTCTATATACTGCATTATCAGATAATGATTTGTGGTGACTAACCCTATTATTATTATTATTATTATTATTATTATTATTATTATTATTATTATTATTATTAAATAATAATAATAATAATAATAATAATAATAATAATAATAATAGTAATAATAATAATAATAATAATAGTAATAATAATAACACAACCACAATCTGAAAATAATAAATAAATTAAAAAAATTGGGAATCAATAATTGAAGAACGAAAAACAACATAGATTTCCTAAGAAATTCCTCAAAACATGGAAAATCAAGTGACAGTGAAGCAAGTGGGAGTGTGTGATACTTGAGAGCTCTGAACATGTGAATTAGGGCTAAATTCTGAGGTCGAAAAGCATTGTTCCATCTCAAAGTCATATGCAAAGTGCTGCTGTGAACATGAAGCAATAAGTCACACTCTGGAAAAAAAAGTGATGCTACACATGAAAAACTAGTGTGTATGGCAATCAGAGGAAAATAAAAATGTAAAAAAATGTTACTTCCAGTTGTGGCAATGGCAAGAAGTCAATAATCTTAGTCGAGACGCTCACATCACATGACTCGCTCTAATGTATCTTGTAAGAAAAGTACTCGTTATTTTGAGGCTTCAAAAGCCAGTTTCTAAAATGTGGGCTTTCCTTAAAGGCCTTTGAAGCTATAGAGTACCCTTCGACCCTTCCCTGCGATTGAAAGATCATATACAATTCAAAATAAAGCAAAAAGCATATGTAGGGTTTGGATCTGGAGATTAGTAATATATAAAAATAAGACGATATATTTATGCAGTACACGAACAGTATAATATACTTTCACGAGGTCTTGTGAAATTTTAACTCAGTTTCAGGACATAATGTGTCAGGGGATGATCTATGTTTACTCAATGACATTTTCAGATAGTACCATATGCTTTTACACAGAATACAGCTCTCGTAATTTCGGCTAGCATGCTTAGAGAAAATTCACCAATACATACGTAAACAGCTGTCAACACATAAATTATTACTACCTTAAGTTCACGGTATGTGATCTCACTGACGCAGCATTCCAGTGGACAATTTTGCTTGAGCGACATAAAAGACTCCAACAAGCGCTTCCTTAGGACAAATGATTTATTAATGGAACGTTTTGATTATTAACTTCAGTAATAAAGCGTCTTATGTTTAAATAGTCAGCATGAAGCAAATCTACTTTCTTGTTGGTAATCACATAGATGTTAGCTGCTCTTACTTGCATAAAGATGACTCTGTAGATGGAGACATTGCACCTTTTGCAGAGGTTCCTTGCTTTCTACCAGTTGTTCCAAGCACAACCTCATGCAACCCGTGTCTATTCCAGCATATTGAATACCTGAAAATCGTAAAATTAACAAAACACAATTGGAGCACGAGAAAAAAAAAAATGGTTTTCAGAATTGTTTATGGTGCTTGAATAAATTCACCCGCAAGTTAAGGTTTCAAGAGCAGTTTCTGAATGCTGAAATTCCTCAGGTGGCACTGGAGCTGCCCAAAGTAATGGCTGTCACTAATAATAGAAGTAATTGAGTGTTGTTATCAAATATTCATTATCATAGTACACTGACAACAGGAGGAATAATTTATATTGTAACCTTATTCACATGAAAGGGTTCTGTCAGTTTGTCAGACAAAGGTACAATCCGCTCGTGTAGAGATCTTCTAAGTCGATCGACCACAACATTTGCAGGATTGGAATGCGACTGACCCACAGTTATAGAGGAGATATATACTGGCTCCAGAAAGAAAGAAAGTAGAGACCCTTTACAGAAAAAATAAAAAATGAATTAGAATGAACGAGTAAAAATCATTTCTTTACCAAATTCTAGTAATACCATCACAACTTCCAATTTCTAGAACCATATCCTTCAAGTACATCGGGATTAAATAAGAAAACAATCAAGTCAATTTTCAACAGATGAAACTAGCAAAAATAACAGTAATTGTGAAACTATCATTGACGTGAAAGGTTTAGCTGTTACACTTATCAGAATAAACTGTATGGGATGCAATGCAATGCACTGATCTACCATATATAGCCAACTTTCAAGCTTCATCAGACACACAACCAAAGTATCACATATTCCCAAGTCATAATTTTCCTATCCTGACACTTTAAGAAATAAATACATTATTACAAACTAAATGTGAACCTTGAACTCCAACAGCATTCCAACGAGCAATTTTATCAGAGCAGCTTACGGACAAAGTTGTATCTCCTCGGCCGGGCTTCCTGTGAACTGTACCTGGAGATAAATACACGAATACCGAAAGTTATCGAAATACAAGTCAGGTTCCATATTTGCGTTTTACGAAGCATTGTATCTCTCCAAAAGAGCTAGTAAATAGGAGTGGCAAGACATTCAACAAAACAAGTAGACCATAAAGTTAAGGAAAATAAAATGAAGTTACCGTTCGGGGCTGCAGAATGTTCCAAATAGACATGTTCTAAATTCCAATTTTCGAGCGAATCAGTGATTAAAGGTGTGAAAAGCTGAGAACTTAGTGATGCATCTCCGCCTATTGAAATGAAATTAAAAAGAAATCATGCGTAAAAATGTCAATGGTTAACTAAAACCATGTAGAAAGAAATAACATGTGAATTATCTATATACACATACACGGCAATTGGGATACGTACAAATGCAACTGCAATCCAGGTAACAACTTGAATTTCCCTTGGCCTAGTTTATCAGAGGTCAAATGGAAAATGCAGCTATTCATGTCCACCAAGCTTCCATTAGTATGACTACTCGTTGTATACCGTTTCATTATACACTCAATCTCTGTGTAAAAGTACCTGGTAAGTTTCAATCGAGTTTATTAGGTCGAAATCAAACACTACGATGCTCATGGATCTGTCCAAAAAATCACAAATCCTATCAGAAGAATGATTTCGTTAATCCTAAACCTGAGAAGGGATCTTCTCGCGATGACCTCCGCATGAGAATCGTTCACCACGTCGCCGCCGGAGCTCCGACGCGAACGCCCTATGCATTTCGTGCCGGTTCCCAGAGCTACCACTTGCAAATCTGTAAAAAAAATAAGAAAAAAAATGAAAATTAATGGAGTACCTGGACAATCGGAGTGATAGTTCTGAAGCTACTAACCCTGGGAATGGTTTGAGACGAGAAAAGCAGCTAAAACAGTGACTTCGCGGCCTTGAGGCTTCCCTTTCTTGGGAAGGGACTTGTAAGCGGACATTACCGCTGAAGACACTTTCTCTCCCCATTGATTTTCCGACGAGGTCTCCGGCGGGCACGGCCTCGCCGCCGCTGAAGGTGGCCGGGTTGTTTCAGAGAGGGAATCCATTTGGGAGTAACATTGATACGACGCCGTTGTGAAATGTAATCGTGAGAGTTTTGAAATGGGGCCTGAAATATGTATTGGGTTTAAAATCCCGCTTAGTCCTTGATGTCTAGTCCAGCCCATGTTATGGTTGGGCCAATATTTCTTTCACTAGACTGATTCAGGGTCCACCAAATATTCAAATGTAAACACAAAAATTTTCTAGCAATATAGTAAAACATTGTTTTAATCAATATTTATCTTCCGAAATTGAAGCACACTTTTTCGTAAAGAAAATACTACTCATTTTATTTTCATTTTCTCTCTATTTTTACTATCAAACAAAAGAAATATCATTCTATTATTACATCCTTTTCAATAAAAAATATTATCTACTCAGTCATATAATTTCAACTATCAATAATATTTAATTTATAATTTAATATTATACTGTATCAATTATATTCATTAAATTTTTATCATATATTTATTCACAATTTCAATTCTATTGCAAAATATTTAGTTTTTGCTGAAACTATAATAAAGTTAGATGCACGATATAATTATATTACATATGAATATTTTATTTACTTAAATTAAAGGCATAAAAGTATAGACAGGGCCAGGGCAAACACTCGGAATCCATGATAGCTTGTTGATGAAAATTTCAATACGATGATAGCTTCTATGTTTTACTCTTCCTTTCTTTAATGGCTGTCTATGTATAGGGAAATGAAAAAAATATATATATAAAATATAATGAGTTATTTTACGCTATGGTGCCGGGTTGTCTAATCATGAATACAAATTATTTTCGGTTGTCCATGACTTTCAAAGATCATGCATGGGACCAAAGATTCAGTTTACAAAATGGATTATAGCAATAATTTTAGATTCCAATAATAAACATTTCTTCCACTTTAAATTTTAATAGTCAAGTTTTTATATCTTAATATACATTTATGGAACAATACTTCTTCTTCCCCCATAAAATGCTCTAAAAAGTAAAAAGAAAAAAAAAAANAAAAAAAAAAAATACCTACTAAAATATATAACTACAATTTTTATCATGCGTGTTGAACTATGAAAATGTTAATAGTGGGAATACTGATGGTGACAAATGAGGCAGAATAAGTTTTTTAAAACAAATAGTAATATTTTTAACTAAATGTACTGCGCATGGTTGTAATTAGTGATATGTATGACATTATTATTAAAAAATATACATTCAAAGTTTTATTGTAAGTACTATTTTTAAAATTACGTGTTGCTATAATGTACTGAGTCCGAATATGTTATATACTTGTAATGGAAATTAAAACTTTTAGTCACAATCACCTATACTTATTAAATTTAACATTGCTCAATATGATAAACGAGAGTTGACGGGTGCGGTTCTGCGAAGCGCACTAAATTAGGGAAGTCCAAATGAAGCCTAAGTGAAGTTCCGTCCTAAAACAAAATTAATTGATGATAGGAGGAATAGTCCATTAAGTTTATAATTAAGTTAGGCCTATTTTTCATGTACAGACGATGTGGGACAACTCAAAAGTTTATATTGTAACACAATACTAAAATAAAAAAAAAATGCATTGATATATCATTTTAAATTTGCTTATGGACAAAGAAGTCCCACGGTTATCCAAAATGAGGTGATGGTCAAAGGTTGAGATGTGCTCCATCACATATCCATCCATATAAAATCTTGTGTTAAAATAGTTTTTTCAAAATACTAATAAATATTGTAAATAAAGTTACATATGGATAAAAATAATTTTATTTATAAGTAAAAATTGTGGCTGTGGTTGGTACACATCCCAAAAGAAGTATGNACAATTAAAATTAGCATGACTTTATTAAGCTAAATTAGTAAAAAAGAAACAGATGTTAGTAAGAAATGAAACAGATGGTTGAGGAAACCATGGTGAGATTAGATGTGGTTTTATTAAAAAAAGATTTGAAAGAAATAAAACATCAATAACTTTTATAATGTGAAATTATTTCAATGAAGAATAAATAATTGTAAGGATTAAATTTTTATAAAAGTTAAGGATTAAATTAATTTTTATTTTTAAAACTACATTAAAATGTATGCTAATAAATCCATAATGAAATTCAACAGCTCATGTTACGTGTATAGTTATCATCAACCGATATTTTAATGTGGGGCCATACTGTTTCCACGTGTCGATTAACCGACTAGTGTCAACATGTCGGCACATGGGAGACTCCACCCTACATCTCACCCACACAACTTTCTCTGCACCCTATCCTCTTCTTACCTATTAATTAATTACTCTCTCCATTTTGAAATACTAGTGCGTGGCCCGTGCGATGCATGGGAAAACAATATTACGGTTGTATTGTAAATTAAATATATTAATAATATTAATTATGATTTATCCATTATCTTTAAATTAAACCGGGTTGGATACAGTCCGACCGGATAGACAGAGAACCGGTTTATAACCAGTCTAGTTCGCTTGAATAAAAATATTTTCTCTCGAATCCGTCAACACCAGTCGGTTGGACTGGTAGGATCGATACGTTTTTCTAAATAAATTTTGTTATATTTAAAATTATTTTAAATAAAATTACATATTTAAATAAAATAGAGATTTATAAATTATTTATCAATTAATTTAAACATTTGAATTTATTAATTGTTTAGATATCTAAGTAACACATTTTATTTAAATTTATTACAAAAAATACTATATATATATATATTAAAATGTTTATAAATTAAAATCTGAACAAAACAACAAATGATTTAATAAAATAATTTGATCATTTCGATGACGGTCCAGTTCTGAAAACCTTATATTACTTTATATTGATAAAGTTATAATAAAATATTATTTAATTCACAAATATTAATAAAATGATATATAAATATTCATAAATCATTAAATATGTTGTACTAAAATAATTGTTAATACGATTATTTGAAGTTTGGACTACATCACATTCACGTAATAAAATATTTTTAATATAAAATATATATTTAGATTCAATAATCGATTTTGTCTGGTCGAACAGATACATAACTCAGTCACCTGAGACCAACCAAGTTGTGTCAAGTTTTTTGACTATTTTAAATATCACCTAAAAAATAATCCAATCAACCTGGACAGTACCCTTGTATAATCACCCGATTGATCCGAAGAAATTTTCTTATTTTCTTTAAATATATTTAATTTTATGAAATAAAAATATTTTATGATTCATATAATAAATGTCTACACCAAATGATAGTATATTAAGATTATAAATTATATATCTAAAGATGAATTAATTATTTTTACTTTATGCATATTAATAAAAAATAAACATAGTAATTTTCAAAAATTAAGATTAATTGATTGATTAAGAGAGCTCAGAACGAATTGGTATTGATATTGCATATTTTTAGCGTTCAATATTTTTTTTAAATGCACAAATATAAAGACCGAGATTTTAAAACTTTTGTTATATTTTGAATTGAGATTTTATAAATATAAAGACTGAGATTTTAATGTTGTTCGTTGTTTCTAAGAAAAAAATAAAAATAAAAACTTACACATTTAATAAATTTTCGCTGGATTTTTTAAATAATAAAATGAACTAAATCTCGAAATTTAAGGTAGCATTTAATGTTGTATGATTTTTAAAGAAAAAAATAAGAAAAAGAATAAAACTTATTATTTATAGGCTGCATTAAATTCTGACCTATGTTTTTGCTACTATTTTTGGTAAATGTTAATTCTTATTATATATATATATAGATAAGGCATTTAAGGTTATTGCACAAATATTAAGGAGACATTAATTAATGAATAAATTGATTAAATTAACCTTATTTACTCTAATCACAACCATTCCACACTTCCTTAATTTCAACACAATAAGGGTATATTTGAAAAAAAATGCAAAAATTTGTCTTGATTTTTGAGCGCGCCTTATATTTCAAAAAAAATGAGAAATCTTTATACGCCTTATATTTCCAAATGGAGGGAGTACCTTCATAAATTGTCAATTAAAAAGAATTATGAGAATTGAGACATATAAATGTAATTTTTTTTTGTTTTAAATATCCAGAAAAAACACATATTCATTATTGTAAATCTGATAAAGAATTTAGGTACTTACGAAAATAAATTAAATACTCAAATTTCATCGTAGTAATCATTTTTTCTAAGTAATAAGAAAATAATGTGAAATAAACAAAAAAAATGAAAAATATAGTTTTACATGTCAATAGAATTAAAGAGTGTGAAATGTTTTAGGACACAAAGATTAGGTTACAAATTTTAGATACCATGTTTGTTTATACATTTAAAGGAAATTGTATAAAAAAAATCTCTTCTCAAATCTTCAAATTAAAATCATTTAACAAATTACAGTTACTTAAGAAAATCACTTAATAGTTGGATTTATTTTTTTTAAGGTAAAGGTGTATTAATTTAAGATTTTGAGTGATATTTTATTTATATTTAGATATAATAAAGGTGTATTCACTTGAAATTTTGAGCGAAAATTTTCATAAATATGAGATTTTTTAAATTCTTTTAATTGTTTTAAAATCTTTAGAAACAATACATCTGTCTACATGTAGGATTTAGAATAGAATTTTCTGTGTGCATTGTCTTTGAAATATTAATAAGCTTAAAGAATTCCAAATAAATCTCAATCATAAATAAATAAAATGCCTACAAACTTTTTAAAAATTCAAATTAATACCTCCAAACTTCGTAAATTTATACATTTTAAATTCAATATAATTCTTAAAAATTCAAAGAATAATTTAAAATCATGAATGAATGCACCCTCTAAAAAATTATATCATGAGAAAAAATTCTTGCACAACATGTATTTCGAGTTTTTAACATAATTAAAGCATAACTATGTAATTATAAATAGTAGCAATATTGAGTATAATTTAACTTCCCATACATCCAACACCGCATAGCACTGAATCACTGCTCATCCCCACACACGCTCGGTACACACACTTGTCCCTGCCCACATTATTTGGAGGACCAAATTGTAATAAATACTAATTTTTCCAGTTTATGGCCATCTCGGAGCTTCTGTGAGCTGTGTTTAGCTAATTATCTAAGAGGAGCGAGAGCGAGAGAGAGATTTGAGAGAGAGAGAGAGCGAGAGAGAGAGGTCTGTACTTTAAGTCTGTGTGTAGATATGGCTACAGAGGCGCCGGTGGAAGTTGTGCCGACGAAGCCCGAGGCTGAGCCGCCGCTCGCGGCGGTGGTGGATAAGCCGGCGGTTGCTCCGCCGCCGCAGGAAGACGCCAAGGCTCTCGCAAGTAATTTTTAAAATACTCTCTGAGTTAATATGATTCGATCTAATTTTTTCTCGATTGATTTTTTTTTTGTTTCCTTTTTTTTGGTAAATTACTTTCTATATGAATATGTGAATTTAATCTGTTTTGTTTGTTATGTTGCAGAGGCCCCCGAGCCTGTAGAGCTGACAACCTCTAAAGGATCTCTTGATAGAGGTACTTTTGTTCATTAAATTTTCTGAGTATTAATTAGTACCCTTTTGGATAACAGAAACAAAAAGTAGAATCCTGGTCTTGCAGAATTTTGATGTATTGTCTATTGTAAAGGACGAATTTGATTTATTTCAGTAGTCATATTAAGGGGACCCTTGCAAAATATGAGGAGCAAAAAGGTGAATTCCAAAAACTTTAGTTGGAAAAAATGAACTTCTAGCGGTGTTTAGTAAGAATCAGATCTTCTGAAGTTAGTACATCAACAACTTGGGTTTCGTAATCTTACTATGATTCGACGCTTTGCATAAGCAAATCTATATTGGACATATGCTTTAGAATAACTGAAACATGTGTGCGAAATGACAAAGTGTGGGTTTGATTTTTGCGTACAGATGTAGCTCTTGCTAAGCTTGAGGATGAGAAGAGGTGGTCTTTCATCAAGGCATGGGAAGAAAGCGAAAAGACCAAAGTGGATAATAAGTGAGTCTTTTGTTTTGCTCAGTCTTGATTGGCTTTTTTAGAAACAATCACGTTATGATCTTTAAACCTGTAAATGACTATGGAAAATAGAAAGTGAAATTGATCGTTTTCTTTTATGATTTTAACGTGTCATCAGTAGTACAGCCCGAGAACATCTTCATTGGCCTATTTTTATTAATCACCTTCCGTTGAAACAATTGTTACAATTCATTGACATTTACAAATTTAGTTTTTGATCTATGAACATGTTAATCCTTGGGACAGGGCCCAAAAGAAGCTTGCTGATGTTGCTGCTTGGGAAAACACCAAAACGGCTTCTATTGAGGGCAAACTAAAGAAAATCCAGGTAAACACTCGTCCTTCATTTATATCTTGAGCTACTTTTATTGAAGGTGTTGACCTATTTTTTTTTTTTTTTACTAAAACCAATCATATTTTTGAACAAGCATACAAAACCTAGAGTTAATCTGCTTTATCAGATTGGGTTACCAACTTGCTTACTGAATCATGTGTTGACAAGATTTGGGTTGTGGATTTTGGTAATAATATAATGCGAAGAGTGAATAAAATAAATACCAGGCCGAGCTTGTCAATTATCAAAGAACATTTCGTTTCATTTATTTAGATTGAACCTGAGGTCAATTTTGTAATTACTCTATATATTCTCTCAGGAAGAGCTGGAGAAGAAGAAGGCAGAATATGCAGAGAAAATGAAGAACCAAGTAGCATTAATTCACAAGCAGGCGGAAGAAAAGCGGGCCGTGGTCGAGGCCAGACGAGGAGAAGATTTTCTCAAAGCTGAGGAGATGGCTGCAAAGTACCGTGCAACTGGACATGTTCCTAAAAAGGCCTTTGGTTGCCTTGGAGGTTAAAACAAAACCTTCTGTTGTCTGTTTCGAAGATGAGTCGTCAAAGAGCCACAGTTTATATTTTTCATTCTCGTTTTGTGAATCTTTTTTGTTTGTTTGTTTGTTTGTTTGTGTTGTTCTGTGAGGTTTCAAGGGATCAACAAATTCCCTTTTCAAATCTCAGTGTCTATCTGTGATGTGTGAGTAGTGTGTTTGTACTTTTCACTTGTCAAGAGAATGTTGTATCGAGTGTGTTTGTACTTATCACTTGTCAAAAGAATGTTGTATCGAGCTAGTATATATTTATTTATATATATATATATATATATATNCATTGTCGATTGCTTCCTAAATGCAAGACTTTCTCTATATGTTATCTTTTTGCTCGTTTTGCATTAGCTCTTCAGGTTATTGAAACAGAGGCCATCAACATTCTTTCCATTTCAAACCATGGTCCAGACGAGGATGAAATTCGACCCGATCACAAAAGAGAAACAACCCAACACCTAAAAGGCTAAAACCCCAGGTAATGCCTCTTTCATATTTAACACCATATAATCACTAAAGACTGTTAACTACACGATCGGCTTGCGGTCTAAAATGCCAGGGTACAATCCGCTATAGCAGCAGCCATCGCCGTTTTCCAAGAAGCTCATGTCATCACTCGGGAAATCCAAAAGCAGGTCCAAAGTAGATTCTTCGTCGTCATCTGAATCTTGGGGTTCGTTCGAGCTCACGCACTCGTCGCACGATTTGTTGCCAGCCGGATTAGGGTCTGTTTGGATGGCACCAGTTTTCCCTCCACTTTTCAAGTTTCGAAAAGTTTCCCCGACTTCGGAATTCCAGAGGCGCAGGAATAGGTCAGATTCGGACTTGTTGGCGAATGAGGAGGAGGTGGGGAGCAAGAGGGATTCTCGGGACAGGCGGGCCTCGGCCTCCAGCCTGGCGCTCTCCCATTGCGCCATGTGGCGGGCCGAGGGGGCGCCACTTGGCGTCGAGATGGGCTCGTGGGTGTCGGGGTCGATGCCCATTAGGAGCAACCGTTTCTTGAGGTGAGTGTTCCATAGGTTCTTGATCTCATTGTCTGTTCTGCCCTGAAGCTGAGAGGCTATTGCGGCCCACCTGCAAATGCCGAAATAAGAATGTAACCAAAAATGATTTTAAAAAGGAAAAATCAAATCTATTGTCATTTTTATTAAGAAAACGAGGGTTTGGTTACGCGTTGACCAATCGGGCCGGTTAGGATTGGAAGAAATATCACGATCTTTTGCCATTTTTATTAAGAAAAACGAGTGTTCGGTTATGGGTCGACAAATCGTGCAGGTTAGGATCGAAAGAAAAATCACATTTTTTTGCCATATTGCCATTTTATCAAGAAAACGAGGGTTTGGTTACGGATACACCAATCGGGCCGGTCATGTAAGGAAGAAAAATCATATCTTTTTGCCATTTTTATCAGAACTCGAGAAGAAAAAAAGGTTGCTTTATAGACCAAACAAAACGTGGCAAAAATCAGTAATTTATCTTTTTTAAAGTTTGGATGACTCGAAATTTGTCATTTTTTCGCATACAAAAATGGATCATTTTTGCAGCTGTAAAAATGGATCTTTTACCTCTGCAGATCGAACCCGATTTACTGTAAGATACACAATAATCAATCAAGAAAATAGGAAAAGAAAAAAAAAAACCTGTTGCCAAGAATAGCGTGCAATTGTATGACAAGCTTTTCTTCTTGAGGGCTGAAAGGTCCACGTTTGATGTCTGGCCTCAGATAGTTTGTCCACCTCAACCGACAGCTCTTCCCACAACGAAGAAGACCTGTGAGATACTCGAGCACGGCTCTTTAGCAAAACTAACCGATAAATGAGCTTGAGGTCAACTTATTTATCAATATTAACAAATCGAGTAATGTTACACTAACTAAAAATCTCTTTTTTCGAGACTTAATGAGTGGGCTATAAACGAGTTAATGAAACAAGTGTGTCTCGTGAACTTAGCTTGACTAATTTAATATCCACTCCTTACAATTGGACGGGTTTTTAAAAGCCTTTGATGGGGATTTGTAATTTTTAGAAACTAATAATTTTTTTCTTTTTTGTTTTGAGATGTAGCAGAAAACATATTTTGGTACTATTAGCAAATTAAGTTCTTTGAAATGCCTTTAAGTTTTAGTGTGCAAATTTAGTTATAAGCTCCTTTAAAGAAAACAAAAAATACTCTAATTTGAATAGTTATTAGTATAGAATCATGTTAATGAACAAGATTCAAGAAAAGCTAACATGCATTAGCCTTACAAGATTATAACTTTCTGTTTAGTTTATCCTGCATTTAAACTAAATCCAAACAAGACATTGTGACATTTTTACTCACTCTCAAGTCTCAACAAAGATTAAAAACCTTTTTCTGAATTTTGTATACACGCACACACACTTAAAGAAAAAGAAGAAGGAGAAAGAAAGATTGAAAAAAAGGTACCTGCAAGCTTGGGGAGAGATCTCCAGCTGCCATGACCATGCTTGTTAATGTAGTCCAGCAGCTTCTCATCTTCCTCAGGAGCCCATGGCCCCTTTTTCAGCCCCTTCTTATCACAACATGGTGCTCTTCCCATCTCTCTCACACACACTAAAACACAGTGATATATGAAAAATTAAACTAATTTCTACACTTCAAATTCTTTCTTACAAACCCCTCCAAAATGGGTTAATTAATTAAAAAAGGAAGAAAACTAGCTAAAGGAAAAAAAA